TGGAAACCCAAAATCTCTGTAAATGTTTATGAAAATTAATAAAATATAATTATAGAAAAAAATGAGAATCCCCCCCCCCAAAAAAAAGAATTCTGACATGTAGAATTAGGTAGAGAGGGTCTCATTTACTAAGGTGGCAAAACCTGAGAAAAACAGATTTGGGTAGATGAATATTTTTTTTAATATGATGCGTATTTCACTTTGTTTGGACATCTGTTGAGACAATCATAAATAATTAGACTTTAGAGCTGGGCTTTAAAGTATGTGTAGTATTTTACCAAGTAGAGTTGTTGTTTGCCATTGAGTTGGAACCACTCATAGCTCCCTACCTAGTGAGTTTTCAGAGGCAGTTAATCTCATGGGAGGAGATTTGAACTGCGTGCCTTTGGGATTTCAGTGGAGCTTCTTATCACTAGGCCACCAAAGATTCCTACCAAGTAGAGAAGAGACTTTATCTCAACAAATTACTGGAGGACAAGGGATGAGGAAGAGATCTCCTTTTATTGAGATTGTCAAAATCCTTTCTGGAGCCCTCTATCATTCGAAATAGTGAGACTAGGAGTTCTCAAGACCATTAGATGGACCAGCCTTTTAGAATTTTCATCTCTCACTTTTCTAATGAGGAAGCTGAGGCCCGAAAAGGCAGGACTTTGCCCAGTTAGGCTTATGCTCTTCCATTCCTCTTCCCTTCCCTTCCTTTATCTAACAGATATTCATTAAAAGCCTAGATGCTGAAGATAAAGCCATGAACAAAACAATGTTTCCATCCATATTACTGGAGGGAGGTGAATAATAGCATAAAAACAAGTGAAAAATATAACACATCAGAGGCTGATAAGAGAAGCAGAGTGACATAGGACTGGGTCATGTGTACCCCCTGGAGATGTCCCATGGAGCTGACTCCTGAGATGAAAGATGCTGAGCCATTCTCACGGGTCCCCTGCCTCTGCAGGCCATTGTGACAGTGTCTGAGGCTCTATAATCTGAGGCCTTGGGGGTGGACAGAAGACTCAGAGAAGGAAGTGGACGACTGAAGTAGATTCAGAGGGTGGGTTTCACCCCCATGAGGGGGGAAGCACATCCTAATGGGTAAGAATGGCCACAAAGAGTCCTCTTACCCTTGTGATGAGTAAAATATACATTTATCCTTGAGATCTCCCTGCCCCTATCAAGGCCTTTAATCCCATTCAGGTCTTGGATGACACACCCATTTTGTTCTTCTCACCCTTAGAGACATTTAGAGAGGCATCCAAATGGCCCTTGTTCCAGCAAGCAGTGGGCCTGAAGAGCTCCTGACACACATCCCAAGCTGCCCAGGGAGACTGAGTGGGGTTCTGTGAGGCTCTGCTCCAGACAGGAAGTGGGCTGGTTATTCTAGGACCATGTCCTTGTGTCTTTCCCTTCAGGACATCCGTGAACAGCCTCCATGAGGCCCTGGACCAGTGCATGACTGCCCTGGATCTGTTCCTCACCAACCAGTTCTCAGAAGCACTCAGCTACCTCAAGCCCAGGTAAGACTTAAGAGCAGGATGAGGGATGGGGAGGTGGGTGCATGCATGTGTGCGCGAGCTACGTGGATGGATGTGTACACACACTTGAGGAAGTCTGTAAAGGAAGGGATTAGCAGTATTAGGTCATGGAGAACCAAAAGCTTTTTTTCTGACAGGAACCCTATGTGAGTTGACTTCTCAGCCTCCTCAATCACTCTGACCCTTCAGTTGTTGTGTACCATCGAGTCAGAACCAACCCATAGCTGACCCTCCAGAGGGTTTCAGAGGCAGTAAATCTTACAGGAGGAGAGTGCCCATCTTTCTGCCACAGAGCAGCTGGTGGATTGGAACCATATGCTTCGTGTTGGCAGCACAGCTCCTTACCACTAGGCCACCAGAACTCGAGTCCCTTAAAGAAGGTAGGGTAGAGGTAGAGATAATACTGCATTGGAATGGGTGAAAGGAAGGACCATCTGAAAAGAACAGACAATTAGAAATTATGTTTAGGACAATAGTGTAGAACAGGACAAGCATTACAAAGGGGATCAGGGGAGAGGGAGGGAAGAAAATGTTCAGGAATGAATGAAAACCAGTTTCTTTGAGAACCTTCACTAAAATAATTTTTTTTTATAAATGACCCCATCTTTCCATCCCATAACCTGTGAGCAGCCAGGGCCCCATCAATGTCACTGTGACTTTCTGGGCCTTCAGTATTTGAAGCTTCTTTGTATTATGACTTCTTTTTTTCTCCCCTCCCCGTTTGAGGGTTTATTGGTTTGCATACAATCATTCATATACATGATGTTTCTTTCATTTATAAAATGTTTTCTATATATTTATATTTGGAAGGAGGAGTGGCATCCACTCCGGAAACCCTATGAACCTGGAGAGAGGATGACAGACACCCAAGCGTTGAGGACTCTCCTTCATAGGGTCACTATGAGTCACCTGCGACTTGATAGCACTTAACAACAACAACAACACCATATTTATATAATCATTCACATACATTATTTTGTACACTTATATTTTGGGTTTGGTTTTTTTGTGGATTTTTTTTTTTACTTCTTGATCCCAGTGAATCCACTCATGTTTTCTCCCTCGTTATCAGCAATTGCTTTCCTTTGCTTTTCCTCACAGCTTCAAACATTGGAGCTGCATACTTTACTAAGCATGTTAGAGTAATAATGAAGGTCACTCATTTAGCCAATACTACCTTCTACTACCTTGGCGCTAAAGAATATGCGTGCTTATCCTGCTCTTCCTTATAACTTTTTCCATTTTTAAAAATTGAGCTTACATGGCATACATTTCCCCTTATCTTTTTAAAAAGTCTTGCCACTGGTAGACTAGAATTTAACTTTCTTACACTGCTGTACCTCCTCCCTTTCGTCATCCTCTTATCATTATATCACAATATTTGGCTAAATCAATAATCAGTGTTTGCATTATCCTAATTATGTAGTTAGTGTTTACTGCAGAGACAAGTAGTATATTACCTTATGTTTCCTCTTTAGAGTTAATCATTATCTTTTTTTCTTTTCTCATTTCCCTAATTTGCTAGGGAGCTCTGGCAGTGTAGTGTGCAGTTTATCAGGCTGCTAATCAAATGGTCAGAGGTTTGAGTCCACCAGCTGTTTTATGGAAGAAAGATAATGCAGTCTCTTCCCTTGAGATTTATGACCTCAGAAACCTGTTGATAGAAATTACTGTCAGAAGTGACTCGATGGCTGTGGGTTTTGGTTTAATTTCTGTACCTTTATACTTAAATCTTTTTAGCCACTCCAGGAGCTCCCAGTCTTGCTTCCTGGGATGGCCTGGGAGGTGGCAGTCCTTTGCTCTGATGTTTCCTGAAACTCCTCTTGCTACTCTCCTGCTTCCTTGATCCTTTCTCATTCTCTCTATCATATCCTCTCTCATTTTACTAGAGATTTACTCTAGGAACTTCCCAAGAAAGAGTTACATGACTACTAGATAATTTTCCCTTCAGAATTTTGAAGGCATTGCACCCTGTTTTCTATCACATAAGGGAATTATGAGCCGTGGTGGTGCACTGGTTTAAAGTTCTTGCCTACTGCCAACCAAAGGGTCAGTGGTTCAAACCTCCCAGTTTCCCTTAAAGTATACTTCCTTAGGGGTTATCGTCTTTGCAGCCCTATGGGACACTCTGTCTCATAGTGTCCCTAGGAGTTGAAATCTCCTTAACTACAGTCAGGTTTTTATTTGACGCAGTGTAGCTGTGAATATGGCACTAACGCTTTTTACTTGTGATCTCCTCCCTACCACCTTTATATAAATGATTAGGATCTTCTCTTTCTCTCATCAAATCTGAACAATCACAATGATGACCAGAGTATAGGTCTTTTTTAATGCAGTTGCTTCGTTGTTTTTTTTTTTAAAAAACTTTTTTTTAATTATTAATTTCAATGAAAATTTACAGACTTTGCACTTTTCTCCCCATCCACTCTCCCCCCCCCCAGTACACTCCCCTCTTGGAAAAGTAAAAGAAAAATTCTTTCATTGTTTTACAATCCCTCCCCCCAGGTCCACTCCACTATGCAGCCTTCGTTCTGACTCCCATCATGACAAAAATACCTAATCACATAGTCCTTTTAAACAGTTTTCTCCCTCATCTGTTTCAATGCAGTATACATTATTTATTCCATCTTTCTCAGTCTCCCTCCAACCCTGATTCAGTCCTGTTTTACAATAGTGGCACTATGCAGTATTTGTCCTTTTGTGACTGGGATATTTCACTCAGCATAATGTTTTCCAGGGTCACCCATTTTGAATAATATTGCATGAGTTCCTTGTTTTTTAATGCAGCGTAGTATTCCATTGTGTGAATATACCACAGCTTCTCTATCCACTCATTTGTTGATGGGCACTTAGGTTGTTTCTAGCTCCTTGCAATTGTGAACAAAGCCACAATAAACATGGCTGTGCAGCTTTGGGGGTTTTTGTTTTGTTTTGTTTTAAAACACAATACTTTCATTCCAGGGAAGTTCTCTGGGATGCCACATCCTGTTGGACGTTCTTTAAGTCCCATCTTAGACTTTCAGCATCACTTTTCTAAGCTACTTATCTTTTAGTCCATCTCCATTTTCCATTTCTTTTGCTTGTTTTCTAATTTCCAGAAATTATCTCCACTTTATCAGTCAACCTTTCTATTGCTTTTTCTGTATTTCTCTAATCATTCAATTAATTTCAATGTTTCTCTTGGACTGTACTCCCATCTCCACCCCTATAACATTTTGTTCTCTTTTTGTTGGTATGTTATCTTTACATCTACATTTGGAAATGAATGCGTATAGGACAGTGCATGGCTTGTAGTCTGTTCTCTAATTAGTCTTTAATGTTATCGTCTGAGATTAGTATCTCTGTTTAAAATGTTTTATTGTTTCCTACATAGTCTTAACTATTTGCTGTCTAATGGTTTGGGAATCTCATTCTCATGGGGGGCTTCTTCAAACTTGGATGTCTGATGATGTTTAAGAATAAGTTTACTTAAAGATCTGTGTTCAAGCTGACTTGTAATTGGTGGGATTGGCTGTTGCAGGTTCCAGCAGAGAGGCGGCAGTCAGCATTTGAAAGGGTCTAGTTTCTCCAGAGAGAACATGTTTTTTCCTGGGCCTGCACAGTGAACCCTGAGTTCTGAGACTGATGGGGGAACCATGGGTTTCGTCATGCTCACTGGATCTTTTTATTTTAATGCTTCTCTTTTCAGCTACATGTCTCTAGACTGTCTTTTGTCACTCACATGGTCTGAGGGGGTCTGGGCTGTGCCAGGCAGGGTGGGCCAAGATTTCCTGGCTCGCTCTTCCCTCCTGGCTCTTTCTTGGTCTCACTCAGAGGGACCCTAACTCTAATCACCCTCCTGTCCTTGGTATCTGGCTGTCCCAGGTGCTCAGCTTCCCATTCTGTCCCATCCCACCCTGAGCACTGATAATGGCCTTTCTGCCAATCCCTCAGCGAAGACCAGGCCACACCATGTTCTAGTCTGAATGGTCTAAATTGTGCTCCAGATTTTGGACCAAAGTAGATATTCTATGAACTTTGAGAGAAAAAAAAATAGTTACAGAAAAGCTTCAGGTCTTTTGTTCATAGGGTCACTATGAGTTGTGTTTGACTTGACAGCAATCAACAACAACAACAACAAGATAGTCAGAACATAGAAGAAAATTGTAGAACTGATGCGATGCTACACTAGACCCCCAAGCTGTGCCCACTTCAGGATTCCTAACCCAGCTTTCCCCTCAATGTTTACATTAATGAAATGGCTCCCCTTCCTTGGGTCAGAAGGAAAGTCTGCCAGGAATCCCTGGGGAAGAAATGCTGGTCTCCTGAAGGGAGGCATCTGGGGAGAAGCCACCACTGTGCCTCTCCCAGCACCTGGAACAGGCTGGAAGCAGTCACTTCTGACTCATAGAGACCTCCTTGTGACAAAGTAGAAGTATCCTGCGGGGTTTTCTTGCCATAATCTTTACAGAAGCAGATCGCCAGACATTTCTCCCTTGCAGCTACTCGGTGGGTTTAAACTGCCAACCCTTTAGTTAGCAGCCGGGTGCTTAACCGCTTCCCTGTCAGAGACCTTGGAAGCAGTTTAACCCTTCCTTACCTTAACCTCCACCTCATTTGGAAAAGGATCTTTCCTTTTGTGTTTTAGGGTGTTTCTCCAGCCCCTTGTGCCAGCCCCTTCTATCCCCACCTCATGACAACCAAAAGTGTCTCCAGAGATGGTGCTATTTCCCCTAAGAGAGGATATCACAATTGCCTCCCTGTCCCCAGTGAGGATCACTGATCTAGAGAAAGGAAACAAGTCTTGAAAAAAAAAAAAAAGACCCCAGAAACAGCCTGCCTTCACTATTTGTGGTCATTTAGGCTTCAAAAGAGACTAGGATTCAGTCTCCTCTGCTGTTTCTCGCTGCACAGACATGGTCTCATTTAACTGTTGTAATTCTGGGCTGTGGGCAGTGAGCTGTTTGCCTCTGCCCTTGCCCTGGTATTTGCTTTCCATATGC